ATGTATTATATTGAATTAATGTATCTATATATTTGTATCGATGGATATACCGAAATATGTCAAATCAATTAATGTACATATCTGAAGATTATAAAAATTGTATCGGAATATATTATATAAAAAAAATTAGTTTAGCTAAATGTAGACATCATAATATATTATGATGAACGAAATAAAAATGAAATTAAATGTAATTAATACATTAAAAATAGGAAGAAATAAAACATCAAAATATAATTAATAAATGAGATGATTAAATGTATGAGGGGCTAAAATTAGATTTTAATCTTACACAAGTTTATAGTCTAAAACTCATCTTTTTTTAGAATTAAAATGGAGGTTGATGTATGTATGAAATGGTGCTGATTAATTACCAGGGTGACAACTTTGATTTGGGTGGTTGTGAGATCAAATTGGAGCTCACCAGACTCCTGGAGCCGCTGTAGCACATCCACTATATCTTCTTGATGGTCATCTCCAACAGCTGATTCCTCATTCCTTTTCACTTTATGATTGCTGATGATTTCATCAAGGATCTTGTCCATTTTCTGGTGTACTTTCTCAATGGCAGGCTTCAAATTTATGACATAACGGGGGAATTTGAGTAAAGGGAAAAAAATCCGGCATAACAAATTCTGCTCCAAGCCTAATTGTATCCTTGAGCAGTGATAAAAATTCTTGTTAATACTTCCACTTCTTTCCCAAGGCCGCACGGGCAATAATGATGTTTACCATGGAGAAGATCATTTCACTAAGATTGAACGGGTGACCCTTGTTAGATAAATATCAACAATCTGTGATAAACTTATATATGCTAATAAATAATAAATGCAAATAAATATACTAACAGAGTATGAACAGTACAAAATATTATTGAACAGACAAATTAAAGATCAAGGCTTGCATACCGTAATGTCCTTGAAACAGATATTGCGTCCTAACTCAGTGCTTGTAGTTCTACGAACATCTGCCTCACTAGGATTCAACGATCTAAGTTAGAATTCCAGCACAAGAAAACTAACTTCTGGCGAATTTCTTTATGGTTCTCTTAGTAAGAAGGTTTAGGAATGTTGAAGAAGAATTTGATATTTTCTATGTCCTAAATGTCATGTAGATGGATGTATATATAGTAGGTGTATGCCTGTTCGCAACAGGTATGAGAATGAGATGTGTCTGTTGGGATACATCTTCTCCAGAGGGGTGCTTTGCTTTGCATTCTTTCATCACTTTTTAGACTTCATCCGAAATGATAAGTCTGTTGATAAAATAATAAAAATTTAATTAAATGATTAAAAATAATTAATTAAATCTAAAATAATTAATTAAAGTATTTAATTATTAGAGCCCGAGCCCCAAGGCCCATCTTTTGATAATTAATTATATATTAATGATTTTACTAATTTATGTTTTAGTAATTTTTTTAATATTTTCTCATTTATGTTCATTTATAATTGAAAGAAGAACTAATATGTGCATATTAATAAAATTAAAATTTTAATGTGGAGACATTAAAATAAATACATATTAAATAATAAAAATAGAATATAAATTTTAATAAAAGTAGACTTTAAGGAATTAAATTGAATATGTAATCTAGCATCAAGTTTTTTTTTTTTTTTTTTAAAAAGAAAAAAATTCTGATCTTTTGTAAAGACTAATGTTCAAAACTTATGTTGTTTCTTTCTTGATTAAAATTGATATGTTGATTAAGTTAGTTTAAAAGCGCATTAAGTGAACAAATTAAGTACCTTTTTTAACATAGAAAATATCAAATTCTTCTTTAACATTCCTAAACCTTCTTACTGAGAGAACCACAAAGAAATTTACCAAAAGTTAGTTTTCCGGTGCTAGAATTCTAACTTAGATCGTTGAATCCTAGTGAGGTAGATGTCCATAGAACTACATGCACTGAGTAGAGACGAAATATCTGTTTCAAGGACATTGCGGTACCCAAACCTTGATCTTTAATTTGTTTGTTCAATATTATTTCGCATTGTTCATACTCTGTTAATATATTTATTCGTATTTATTATTTATTAGCATATATAAGTTTGTCACTGATTGTTGATATTTATCTAACAGGGGTCACCCATTCGATCTTAGTGAAATGATCTTCTCCATGGTAAACATCATTATTGCCCGTGCGGCCTTGGGAAAGAAGTGCAAGTATTAACAAGAATTTTTAACCACTATATTAATTATAATTAATTATATATTAATTATTAATTAATTAGTACACACGAAAGACCAACCGTAAGGGTGAGCCCAATTTTGTTCTCCAAGGTCCATCACTCCAATCACTTTCTATAAGGGACAAAGCCTTATAAAGGGAGGAAACCTTTTGGTAGTGACCAATGTGGGACAATGAAATTTCTACTCAAAATTTCCAACAATACCCTACATTTGAGTTGAAATTTCATTCAAACACCACCAATTTACTCATAACACCTCACATTTGAATGCAAATGTATGACTAGGCTGCCTAAAACTAAGAGAGAATAGACATGATATGCATCGGGGTGAAGTGTCATTTGGACTTGAACTTACCCTAGTGAAAACATATCGGGTTTACTTGGTGACGCAATGGATGTGGAAGATCTTGAACTATTTACTGCAGCAGTAAACCGAGACAATATGCGACACACATATCATGTCTACCGCACGTCAATTCATACAGTTGTGTTTATTTTGGCCCTAAACAAATCCTGAATTTTGTAGAAGATTTAGAGAATTTAACCATTTCAATTCTCATAAATGCAACCCCATTTACTTCTATATAGGTGACATTAATTAAGAATAGTCTCTCATATTCCTCTTGATAACAAGATATTAATGTCATTAAATGTATAAAACATAACCCCTCAAACTCAACAAACAACACATATTTTATCATAAGAATAGGTAAGTTGTGTGTTTAACTTTTGAATCAAACTCAACCAATTTGCCTATTGAACCTAGACCATGGGATCTCCAATTGGATAGGTTAGGTTTCCGCCCGGTCCGATTCATTGAATTGGCTTGAGACCCATTCCCCTTGATGTAAATAATATTTGCTCTCTTGGTAGGCCTTTTATCAAGGAATCAACTATATTTTCCTTTGACTTCACATAATCAAAGGATATTATTCCATTGGAGAGCAACTTCTTAAGAGTATTATGTCGACGCCAGATGTGTCGCGACTTTCCATTATATACATGACTTTGCCCTTGATTGCGCAGCCATACTATCACAGGTTTTGGCCATACTGGAATATCCTCCAGAAAATGTTTAAGCCACTTGGCTTCTTCTCTAGCCAAGTCTAAAACTATAAACTCTGACTCCATGGTGGAACGAGCTATACATTTCTGTTTAGAGGATTTCCAAGATATTACTGCACCTCCCAAGGTAAAAACATATCCACCTGTCGACTTGGATTCTGTAGTGTTAGAAATCCAATTAGAATCACTAAACCTTCTACAACAGGTGGATACTTTGCGTAGTGTAATCCATAGTCAAGTGTATTTTCAAATACCTTAACACTCTTACTAAAGCATCCCAATGCTCTTGTGCCGGATTACTTGTATACCTAGTAAGCCTACTTACTGCATAAGCTAAGCCGGGTCTAGTTAAATTCATCAAGTACATTAGACTTCCAATTACTTGGGAATATTCAAGTTGAGATATGACATTGCCTTTATTTTTCTCCGACTTGCATCCAACATCAAAAGAATTTGATATTTTCTATGTCCTAAATGTCATGTAGATGGATGTATATATAGTAGGTGTATGCCTGTTCGTAACAGGTATGAGAATGTGATGTGTCTGTTGGGAGACATTTTCTCCATAGGGGTGCTTTGCTTTGCATTCTTTCGTCAAATAATAAAAAAAATAATTAATTTATTAAATTCAAAATTAATTAAATTCGAAAATAATTAATTAAAATAATTAATTATTAAAGTCCGAGCCCTAAGACCCATCTTTTGATAATTAATTAGTACATCCCAAAGCCCAACTTCAAAGGTGAACCCAATTTTGTTTTCCAAAGCCCATACTCCAATCACTTTCTATAAGGGACAAAGCCTTATAAAGTGAAAAAACCTTTTGGTAGTGACCAATGTGAGACAATGAAATTTCTACTCAAAATTTCCAACGACCCACTGATAAGGAAATTGATTGAACAAGATTTGATGCCTCTTCTAGTCTTATTGATGCAAATGAATCTACGCGTTTTGCACTTAGGAGCTCCAGCACGCAAATCTTTTGCATATGTCTCCAAAAATCATTAAAAGGAGAAAATATGAGACTTGAACAATTATAGCTCACGATTTCAGCAGCAAGAAACGTTGGCCGTTGTGAGAAAGCAACATCATGCGTCTTCAACACCTCTTGAACAAATTCCAGCGATGAAATGACTATGGCCGAGAGTTGTCCCAGTTTTAGGTGCATGATAGGGCCGTACTTGTTAGCTAAGTCTGCCATGCAGCGATGGGATAAAGAGCTGGCAGCCATTTGATGCAAGTTTCCGACGAGAGGCAGCTTCCATGGTCCGGGGGGTAGCCTAACAGTTGTACTGGTGGTGTGCATCATCCAGTATATAACAAGGATAACTGGGGCGACCAGACAAGTAAATATTACAGCAAGGAAAGAAATTTGAATCTCGAACATTAGCGACATTAGAGAAGCTCTTACCATTTTGATTGAGAAGAAGAGGTATAGCGACTGTGCCTAGCTTGATTGAGAAATTTGACCTTTATACTAGTAATTATCGGGAATGGACGAAAAACAATTCATTTGAGAGCTTAGAGATTCCCAATCAAGCATGTGGTCAATGCACTGATTGTTGCTTATGGGATTTACTTAATCTACGTATTGTATGAATTCAACTATAAGGTAATGCAACTTGACGATTAAATCTCTGCAACAGACTATCTTTATTTAATTCAACATTTCTTGTAAGGAATCCAGGGAGAACCAAATCAATATTGCAACAGACAATCTTTATCACGTGAAATGTAATTTTAATATAGGAATAGTAATGTTACAGGAGAGAATCAAACATAGAAATCGCTAGAAAACTTTGCCCACGCGTTGCTGCAGGATTAACAATTGCACCAGACACTGGGCTTGAAACATGTAAAAATAGTGTAACAGCATTAAAATTATTTACAATCAAAAGGATCGAAAATTTTAATACATAAAATGCTTAGTTTATGCAATCTGTAGGGTAAAAGATTGCAGAATGTTTGGTAATCTACATACAAAAAATATTAGAGTCATCCATTGTGCTGCACCAAAGCACTTAGATACTAAAGATTGTATAGTGCCGGACTATTTACATGCAAAAAATATTATGCTCCCTAGGTTAGACAGAATTATTTACGTACCAAAAAATATTGTGCTGTCTAGATTAGAGAGAGCTATTTACATGGCCAAAATATTAGAGATGTTTGATACATATATTGAGAAAGGACTGTAAATTTGATGACTCGAACAACTGACGTTTTGGTCAAGTATTTTCACCACTGGGAAAGCAACCTAGACAAATTAAAATGAAAAGTAAACATTTAGATCAATGTGGCAAATTTATTTTTGAATAAATTTACACCGAAAGAAAAAATAAGGATAAATGATATTTACCAAGTCTTTTTTGAAGCAAGAGGATCTGTCTTTGTACTAATCGGTGATGATTTTTTTTTTCAACAATTTGATTGGAACTTCATCAAAGTCTTTTGGATTTTCTTCTGAATTTTCTTCCACGTCACTAATTAAATGCAAAAGCAAGATAAACAAAAATGAATGCATGATGGTTAAAAACCTGAACATCGTAAAAAAATTGTTTGGTAAGTTATAACCTTTGTTCACTGCTGCTAAAAAGAGACCTGACTGATTCCCTTTTTTGTTTATGCAATTGGGCAGTTGTTTCAGGTGTGGAAGTAGAAGATGAAACCGTTGTGGAAGATACTGTAATTTCCGTTAGCAAGGCCTGTGGAGTTGTTGATTGCATGAATGTGTCTTCAGAAACATTGGAAATCAGAAGATCATTCGTATTCAAATTATTTTTCCCAGTTCCAAACCGCAGATGAATTTTTTTTCTTTTGTCCTATCAACCTCAAGAATTCATTTGGGAGTTGCTGTTGATCCATCAATCTTTGATTCATCACTAAAACTGTGCAGCTTGTGCCAGATAACTTTTCACCAGATTTACCAAGTATCAAAGCATTTGTTTCATTAGTTTCATCTTCAAGAACTAAGTTGACTTTGTACCTGTGTATAAAAACTATGATTAGCCTTTCCAAGTCGGGTTGTACATGAAAGCAGAATCAGTAAAACCTAGAGCTGTGACAAATGACTAAGCACGATGGGATAAAATGTGCATACACATAGTAATTTTATGTTGAATAACATATAGGTGAATATGATTTTGTCCAAGTGTTTTAAACACCTAAAATTACTTTACATAACGACACAAATATTATGTGCAGACAAACATGGTAAAAAATTGGAACATAGGTTGAGTTCATGTATTTTCAAAGGGAGTAGATGATTAACTTTTGAATTTTTTTAAGGGTTTACAGTTTTGGACAATATTTTAAAAGGTTTGAAAGTTTTATACCAATCTGTTAAACGTGCAATATTATCTATATTAAATCAGCAAACAATTACGTGATCGACCATACTGTTAGAAGTTGCAAAAATAAAATAAAATAGACATAGCAAATGACACACCCGGCCCGACCTGGGATGTCTACTAGGACTCTGAATCGAGCTGTGTTGGCCGACACCTGGAAGGTGACGAAGCCATAAAGTGTATGGATGTGGAAGATGTGGATAAATTTAAACCTAAAAGTGCCTAAATACAAGAGTGTGCGGTGAACGGGTAAGAACCCATTTCACACGTGGTGATAGAGCATAAGTACAATAAAATAGGGTGAGAATTATACCATCGATGATAATCGCCTACACCAAGATTTGCCAATAATCCTTGTCGGTACGAAAACTCTGCTACTAACACCTAGAAGGGCGGAAAACCAAGGTGAGTGGGCCTAAAAATAAAGTTTTAATAAAAAACCTTTTGAAAGCGTTATAACCCCTCACCGTAAAACCCGTATAATTTCTAGAAAATAATATTACTACGTAGGTATAAAAACCAATGCACAAGAGCAGCGAAAACTGAAGTATGCCATGTCATAATATCTCAGCAATAATAAATGTAAGACAGGAATGAAACCAATATAAAATAGTATACCAGTCGGAGTCACCTAACGTGACTTGTACGATTGGACCTATAGCTCATCAATCTAGGCTAGCACACGAGTCGGAGTCACTTAGTGTGACCTGTACGATAGGTTGGGTATAAATATGTACGCTCAAGTGCCACGATCTCATGAAAGCTGTGTGATAAATCGCGAGTCATCTACGAGTCGGAACCACCTATTGTGGTATGTATGACAGGCTGGCACCAGACTTGGATCCAAGGTGAGCGTGCGGTGTGGGAGGTGAACAATCACGTGAAGGCTGGCCCTACCTCTAGGCGGGAGCACTAATACCGGGGTGTAGCCACGATGAGCTCTAAATAAATGAGTGCATACCAATGTAATACAACCCATTCAATCGCATAATACTCACCTGAATCTTACCTAAGTCTTCGTAGCATCACACAATACAATTCATAAGTGTAACAATGCAATATTTTAAATGTAACTTATTTACGACATGGCAAGCAAAGCATAGTTCCATATAAAAAAAACATTTTTGGAAACCGTAAAGTTTATATACACACACACACACACACACACACACACTATAAAAAGGAAAAAGGCCCACTCACCTGGGGTCCACGCTACAACTCCCTAGCACGGAAATGAAGGCGTCACGAACAATCGTCGCCGAGAACAAATATCAATTCACAACTTAGAATTCTTATCAATAGAACATATAACTTACGTAAAACACATCCCCAAGGACGTTTTAGAATTATTTGAAACCCATTGACCAAAAGTCAACCGTCAATCAAAGGTCGACTGTAGGGTCCACAACCCTACGTAACTCGATCCGGAAGATCCGCACCTCAGATTTCTGATTCGTAACTTCCAAAGATCCACATTATGCTTCTAAAAGATCATACTAAAGTTTCATTACGGTCCAACGGTTGGATCTCTGCCAATTGCAAATTCAAGTGGCGGTCAACGTTTTATTTTATGAACTAACAAATCCAATTTGGGAAGATCCGTACGTCGGATTCCTAATCCGTAAGTTATAGCTGTCCTCAAATATTACGTTCTACAATGCATTAAAGTTTGGTGATGATCTAATGGTTGGATCGTTGAATCATATAATAATCAAGTGATGTACCTTAATCAAACTAGGTTCACAATAATCAAATCACATCATACATATATCAAATCTGAGGTCAAGATATCAATTTAGCGTAAAATAACATCGGCAACCCACTAGGCACGCTCCACAGTGGGTGGCGGTTTCCGACAAATGGAAACCTAATTTTCCGACCAACTCCAAAATCTTATCTGTGAGATTCCAGCCGACTGAGGTGAGAGGTAGGTAGTGCTTTATCGAATTTATGGCATTGTGCTTTCCACCGACACGAGAGCTTATCTTGCTGATAACGTTCTGTAAAATCGGTGATAGGTATGCAGTGGAATATAAAGTAAATAAGACACAATATTTACGAGGTTCGACAAGTGTGCTTACGTTCTCGAGGCAGCAATAGTACTTTCTTCATTATCTTAAAAATAGGAATACAAAATAACTCACATTATTTTCTCTTTTCTCTCTAACTTGGCTCTTTGGCATTTTTTTCTTTTCTCTCTTTCTTTCCTCTTTTCTTCCCTTTCTTCCGTATGTTTTTCTTTCATCTCTTTCTTCTTATTTCTTTCTTCTTCCTTCCTCCGTGTGCTCTTATTTTATAGGCAAAAGATTATTGTAGCAACATTATTCACTTTACAAATTTTCTTCAAATGAATAATAATTCAGTTGAATAACTATTCATGTGGGCATGTATATATTACATTACAATAGGAGCATGAAAATTAAAACTTCAATAAAATGAATTTCAGACCTAGTATGTACATGAATGACTATCATGCTTTGCTGTTTCTTTTTAATGGAGAAGAGTTCATTCTTTCTTTATTTATTTACAAATATACCCTTGGAATAATTAGATGCAAATTTCACTTCAGTAGTAAATTTTTTTGGTTGAGGGGCATTGTTGTCCAATTACCCTTTTGTCAAAACCTTATCATACGTGTTTTACATAAATGAGACGAGAGTTAAAAGAAGACTTAGAAGAGTGACACGTGTTTTACGTAAATGATTTTGACTTACATATTTCACCGTCTGTACACTCCTTTTAATTTTAATTATTTTTCTAGATTGAGGAAGAAGCTTAAGGCTAAAGGAGTAGAGGAAACCTATGAAGATTTTGAAAGAGACTTTAAGACAAGACTTGGATAATTTGGCTCTAACGGAAAACATGACACACAATCGAGTGCAATAGCGTTTTAAGATTCATATAACTAATCCTACTTAATAAAATAAGACTTCGTTATTATCATTAATTATTTTCCTATTTATTCGAGTTAAAAATAAAAAAATGAAGATGTATCAAACCATACATAAGAAAAATAATGGCCCAAAAGCATTCAACAAAGAGTTGTACAATCTTTTGGTACTTTCTTGTCGTAGAACCTAATAAGCAGTTGTGGAATAGCAAGAGTTTAGTCGCAGAACAAAGGTCATCCTATTGGTAAAGCTCTTTTTTTATTTAAAGCCAAAAGTTGCTAATTAGCTTATTTAATTAGCCATAAAGCACAGATCAAGCATTAATCTACAACCTAAGGAAGTTTTACATATAAAATTAATTAAAATACCTTTAGTCATGCATGATTCGAGTTTAACGTGGACGGATGTGATTGTCATCATCACCAAAGTCACCTACCAACTTAGTTATGTTCTATTATATTCAAGGTTAAGAAAATCGTGGTCACTTACTGTTTCATTTTAATTAATTCGATAATAGAGAAAAAGGTACAATAAAAAATTTAAATGATCATCTTTCGTTAGATTATGATTAAACGGTAAATAACCATAATTTTGTTTGTTCAGAAATCAGGGTCCCTTGTCTATATCTTCATCTTCTTGGAAAAAGAATAGGGAGCTTCCTTCCTTCATTGACTCATGTTGTATTATTGCTATACATACATTATAGGTTTTGGTCCATGGAGGGAATCGACTCTTCAACTATTTAATTTAAAATAAAGACAAGCAAATCATACTTTATTACTTAGAATTTCCATGTTTTTTCCTCAAATTTATTAATTAAAGAATTTGGTTGCTGAAATTTGCAAAACGACTTGAGTATATATGCTTAATTTAAGTACGCAATGTAATGTCACTTAGTGTTACGGTTTAACGATATTCTCCCTCACTTGTAAGTGAGAGATTTTAGATTCAATTCTCGCCAAAGGCAAATTTCAACCAAATTATTGTTAGTCGATTGTGAGGTTAAGTCCATTTTCTCTCCCATAATGTAGATAATATCGTTAATTCAATAAATAAAAAATACACAATCCCACTCAAGGAAAGGAAACCTTGCATATATAAGAGCTTAAATATTTTGGGCACGTCCACATTCTAACACTATAAATTGTGAATGTTACATTGAATGTATAACACTCTAATAGTAACTACTGTGAGTTTCGTTTTAGTCAACAGTTTAAGTTGTGCTAAGATCAGTCGTTCATGCGTATTAATAGTATTTTCCTCCAAGTTTAGTGCTACATATAAATGATGAGCATGACGATTTTGCTTGTCTTTTTTTTCAAACGATAACTATATTAATAATGACTAAATTTGAACCGATACACCAACGTCAACAACTAGGATATTGAATTACGTGAGGGATTGATCATGGAAATGTGGTATTGAAGGGGGATGTTTGCATTGAGTGACAACTTGAAGTTAACCATATTATGAATTAAATGACATCACATGTCTATGTACAAACATATAATTGGGGTTTGTGTGTGGGAAATGCAACTTCACAAATGATGCATTTGGCTTTTGAAAAGACTTGACAAGTCGACGTACTACCTCTCCCTTTCATCCAACTCCATCCATTTAAGGCTACAACGTACAACTTGTTTATTTAGGTGGCATTTGAGCTGCCTAGCAGTAGCCTAGGGCTTGTTTCTTTTGCCTCCATCTGATTAAATTTCCACATTTGCACCCACAAATATGTAAAGCAAAAGAAAATATTTAGCCGTTTATGGTATATCGTTCAATTAGTTTTTGTTAGGTACTGTTTGTGTTCAATTTTAAATAATAAAAAAATTCAAATGATTTTTGACCGCAGAATGATTCATGAACGGATAGAATGAATTAATCCTTAGGATCATCACAAAGAGGATCAGGATATGATCCTCATGGAAAGGGGTTTGCTTGTAGCACAAAAATTATTACATTTTTTTCCCTGCTAAATTCACATTATAACTAGTGTAAATAACATTACTGTTTAAGTGTTGTAATATTTCTTTTTACTTATAAATAAGAGATTTTAAATCCATTTTTCATAGATGTCCAGTTCGATACTCATTTATTAAAGACGACTCATTGTGTGACTTAATATCTTACCCCTTAGTGTAAACATAATCGTGGTTGTATCAAACAAAAACGTTAGCATGACAACGTGCACAATTCAAAATTTCAAATTAAAGACCATGGTTTTTCCTAAAAATTAAAAACCAAAGAGGCAGCCAAAAGGCTAGATTCAATACAAAAAGTTAGTCTCCGTCTACCTTAATAATAAAGCTTACGTAATAACAATTGTAATTTATTTTCATTTCACTATTTTCATCACGTAACAAAAAAGTCTATATGTGTCATAAAGATAAATAAAAAAATAATATAACATAAATAAAATAAACTAGAGTTACGTTCAAAATATGTTAATTTTCTTTTGACCTTAATTTTTTTTGTTTAAAAGATATTATTCGACTTACTTCCTAAACTTGTAAGAACACCTAATTTTTTTTTCCTGAACATTAACTTTGGCCTAAAATTTTAGAATTAGACCATTTGTCAACTTGCGCCCATATTTACGAATTTTTCGTCCAGTATTTCGTCAATATCTAGCAACGTGCTGTCCAAGTCAGCAACAAAAAAAGGGTAGAACTGTAATTCTAGCCCTCAGTAAAACCTACTGTCTTCTTCCGCATCTTCATCATCTCTCCAAGCCTCTGCAACTCTCAACAGCTCACCTCCCAAGACTATCTCCAACTCCCATTCCGCCACAAACAACCTCTCTCTTCCCCCTCTCAAGCCCTCTCACACGACCCACCGGCTCTCCCTCCTCCGGTGAGACGCAGGGAGAGTAAAGCAAGTGAATCCAGGATCACCGACATGCGAAGCCGTGCGGGTCCTGCGAGGTGGAACTGAAGAGGGGGTGAGGGCGGTGGAGTGGTAAAGGAAGAAGAAGAAGATGAAGAGCATCGTGAACTCTCTTTGTGCGGACTCGATTTGGGATTCTTTGAGAGAGACCCTGCTGTGGCTCGGCGACTGCGTGATTGGTGGAGTGCTTGCAGAGATCTGTGGAGATGCAGGAGAAGGTGTGACGTAAAAACGAAAATCGGCTAATTATAAAAGTTTAAGAGGATTAATAACTAAAATTAACGTTTAGATTGAAAAGTGGTCACGTATTACAAGTTTAGACGGTAAATCGGGCTAGTACCTCTTTTAAAAGGAATTACAAGTCTAGTACCCCTTTTTAAAAGGTAATCTTATCCACACATTTAATTTTACTTTTCATATATTTTTAATAATTTTTGTTTGTTAATGTCTTTTAATTCATTTAATTCACAATCAAAAATAAAAAAAAGTATATATAAAAAGTAAAAATAATATGTAAATAGCATATTTTAAAAATTATCCTTGTTCGGTTATTTTAATAACAATTTGGTAGTATTATTTGTTGGATAAATGGTACTTTGCCTGTGATTGTCGTCTGACATCCCCACAAGTACGGCTAACATTTTCCTTTCACCATGATCCACCCTTACTTTACCTTTCTGATCAACAATCACGCTCGGATCCCCCAGTGAGTGCTACACAGCTCCAAACAGTGACTCGATTCGTTGATGATTTCGTTGTTTTTCTTTTTAACAAATGATTTTATTTCTATTAAGGTGGTGAAGGAATTGATTAAATTTATAATGAATTAGTAATAATGTAAATTAATTTTATTTTTAACAAAATACGAATTTAAAAGTTTTTACTTACATATCAACAGCTTTACTGTTCGGGTTGTCACTACAAAAATAAAGCGTGCTGTACACGCGGCGCACCGAACGTAGAGAAACCAACTCACGTTTTGCTACCTGCAAAGTCTGTTATGGCCTTTTCGTTTTTTCCACTTCCTGTTTTTTTTTTTTGAACTCCTCCACTTGAAGAAATTTCAAGAGTAATCCAAATTCCCAACGTATGAAAAATACAAAAAGCTATCCACATGCCCGAGATTACCCTCTTGCTTCTAGAATCATAATAAAAGAATGTGTGTTTGAATTTTTTGGTCTAATGTGTGAATTCGGTTTTTTAGGGAACTTAGCCCACTTTGTACATGGTAGGAGAATTTTTGAATTCGAGCTCCAAATAACATTAGTGCGACACTTTTTATTTGAAGATAATCGTTAAAGTGTTATATTTATGTTATTGCAATATTATTTATGTGTTATAATATAGATTGATACTTAAATAATAAACCAACGAGAAAGTTTATAATTACAAATCAATCGTATCCTGTTGGATTCTATTTCATTCGTCAGTTAACGTAAAGTGAGGAGTTGAGCTCGAACTAGCAAACCAAAGTCACTTTCAGAACCATACTTCCTAATATGCGTATGTGCATAATAATTGCTTCTTAAAGTGTTGAAGCATGAAGGGTGTATTGAATTTTTATATTAGAATTTTGTTTTGGTAGACAAATATATCTTGAATAAGAAAATGGGTACAACTAGACAATTGTTATTATCGCGGTATATGTAATTTGAATTTTAAAATTTAGAGTCTCTTTTGACAATAACATGGTTTAGTTGAAACTAGATTTGCCCAAATGAGTTTGTTTTGGGTTTGTAAACACACTCGTAGCAATGGAACAAATATTCAAGGGTATATCTCTTTAGTACTACGGTATAATAATATTTTTTTCATTTGTAAGTGAGATGTTTTAAGTTCGATTCTTGTTAAAGACAAATTTGAATAACATTATTACTAATACATAGTAAAGCGATAATAATGTCTTGTTAAAAAAAGAAAAAGTATTCAAGGGTATAATAGTCATTCTAGTCTCTATTAAACTCCTCGAGTTGCGTGCCCAAATCATTTCTCATAAACTGGTTCCAAATTTTGCAACTTCCCGTTTTAAGCAGCAAACAGCAAACTAAGCAAGTAGCACCACCACCACCTCCATCTTTGCCACTGAATTTCCCTCTCAGCCAACTCAAAAAACGCACCGCTTCGCCGAAATGCGGGTCTCCAAAGTTCCGATCTTGGCCTCCTTCGCAGCGCTGCTCTCTCTCTCCGTCGTCTACTGCGGCTTCCCGGCCACCTTTCTTTCTCTAGAACGTGCCTTTCCGCCGAGCCACCGAGTCGAACTCGACCAGCTCCTAGCCCGCGACCGAGTCAGGCACGCCCGGCTCTTGCAGAACGTGGCGGGCGGCGTTGTCGACTTCTCAGTCGAAGGCACCTCCGATCCCTACCTCGTCGGGTAATTTTATCATCTGGGTTCTCTTGAATGAAGCTTCTAATGTGTTTGCATTAATGGCTTTGTCTCAGATTTTGGTAGATTTTATCGGGTGAGTTGAGTGTTCTTTCTGGGTGTTTGTTAATCTTTTGTGGGTTCTTAATTGGGTAAGCATTTATTGTGTCTCTGAGGGGTTTGTATTTTCTATTTCTAGTTCTGTTTGGTTGCTGAGAAAATGTGAAGTGAAAGAAAATTACAAAAAGCTCGAGTTTTTCTGTTTTCAGTTCCTCTGCAAATGAGTTCTTTAATGCTTTCTCACTGACCAAATTTGACGATTCATGGGTTTTTAGCATATGCAAATTTGAAAGAAAAAAAAACATTTTTCTTTCTATTTTTATGTAGTTTCTGTTGAAAACGTTGACTGAGTTTGGCTTTTTGCTGTTTGTTTCTGGTTCGATGGATTTTTTTTCTTGTTTCTATTTGGTTTTCTTCTGTTTTATTATGCAACTAAGATTTATGATTTTTTTGTTCCATCATTCGGTTTATCCAGGCTTTATTTTACCAAAGTGAAATTGGGCTCTCCGCCGAAAGAATTCAATGTGCAGATTGATACCGGAAGTGACATCTTGTGGATTACCTGCAATTCCTGCAGTGATTGCCCCCAATCTAGCGGACTCGGTGTGAGTGTCTGTTTCGTTTTCTTGCTTGCTGTCATTCAAGAAGTTTGTAGAGTAAATAGGTAATTTAATGCGTAACAATCTTGCAAATTTCTGTCCCTTGGTTTGCAGATTCCGCTCAATTTCTACGATTCTCTGAGCTCTTCAACTGCGGGGCTGATCCCCTGTACAGACCCAATGTGCACTTCCTCAGTTCAAACTTCGTCAACTGAATGTTCTCCGCAGAGTAATCAGTGCAGTTATACTTTCCAATACGGTGATGGAAGTGGGACAACTGGTTATTATGTATCGGATGCACTATACTTTGACATGATTCTGGGACAGTCTTATATCACTAACTCTTCAGCATTTGTTGTTTTCGGGTGCGTGTTTCAACTTCAACTGAAATGGTGTGCACACCAAATGTGGAATAGAAAGAAATCCTTAACAAACAAATGATAGAGGCAAAATATAATAATTAACTTTGTATGAAGATTGCTCAGGTTTTATCAATAATTAATTCATGTTTTTTTTTTCAGGTGGTACATAGTTTATCTGTATTTACTATTTACGATAAATTTTAAAATGGCATGGCTGAACAGTCTCATCATTTATCAGTAATAGTGACCTGTGCTTCGTAAATAACAATAAGCATGTTGTGTGCCAGAAGAACTGTAATTGATTGTGTAGAATTTCTCTGATTAGTTAGTTAGTGTGGGGGTGTGTGAGGGGGGTTGGAGTTTAATACCTGTTCAATACTTGCTATATCTGACTAAAACAAGAGTAATGGAATATCTTATATCATTGTAATTTCTCTTCATTCTTTCTGGATGCCTACATCATTTTTCATGTTTCTTTTTATTGAAGCGTATTGCCTTGGATGGGTGCAGGTGTAGTACGTATCAGTCTGGGGATTTGACTAAGACAGATAAAGCAGTGGATGGGATATTTGGGTTCGGTCAAGGGTCTCTCTCTGTTATATCACAATTGTCATCTCGAGGGATGACTCCAAGAGTGTTTTCCCATTGCTTGAAGGGAGATGGAAACGGAGGGGGTATACTTGTTCTTGGCGAGATTTTGGAGCCAAGCATTGTATATAGTCCCCTTGTCCCGTCACAGTATGTCTCTACCCTGTTGAAATTTATTTATTTATGGTTGTGATGTTTGATTTAGGTTTAAAGTTTTATGGTATAAGTATAACCCAGTCTATGAAGTGGAATTTAATTTCTACTACAGTTTTAGATTATTGTTTGTGCTTTTGTGTCTCTATATCTGTCTATTTCATTCAATGCACGATTTATCTGGTCAGCAATGGACCTTAACTCTGAATATGTTTTATGCCCCAAGGCTTGGATACCGCAACTTCATATCAAGTCATATCACTTTTGGCCTTTTAAACTTTTAGTGCTTGGCTTTTTGATATTAGCACAGAGGTTGTATTTGGGTCTGCATGGTTGAAATGCGAGGATCACTATCATTCTACCCAGAAGAAAAAGAATACAAGGATCAACTGCTGCATTTTTTTTCTGTCAGGACATGAGAAATAATGTGTTTATTCATTGTTTGTTGCTAAGTTGGATACTGTTCAGCATCATTCATCCCCGTCATGCTAATGCTTTGTTTTTAACATTATATGTTAAGAATACGATTATTGTTTCACTGAGGAAGTCTGGAAGTTTTCTCTCCGTTACTTTAATGTTCTTTTAATTGTAACAATTTATAAGAGTTATGGCTTTGTCTTTTCATGTGTACTTTTTCGGTAATACAGTGTTCACTATTTAATTGAAAATTGTCATGAGTTTTGTTTTTTGTTTTATGTTTCCAGTTAATGTAACAGATTCCTTATTTACTATTTTCAGGCCACATTACAATTTAAATCTGCAGAGCATCACTGTCAATGGGCAAACCTTGCCAATTGATCCAGCAGCCTTCACCACATCAAATGGCCGAGGAACTATTGTTGACTCGGGTACAACGTTGTCATATCTTGTGGAAGAAGCGTATGATCCTTTTATTAATGCTGTAAGTTTGTTCACTTGCTTTGATACGCTAATTTACTTAAACAATTTTCATCATTAGCATTGGGACGGAAAAGGTCATTTTGTTAGAGGAAAAGAATATATATGTATACGTATATTTTTGATGATTCACTCTTAAAAAATTGGTCAAGCTGATAGTGTTTCAGTCATCTTTATCTGTATTGCTTGATCTATGACGTAATTTCATTGGCAGAAGCTACTTTAATTAGGGCACAGTTAAGCTTAGTTCCTATTGTAATTTTTTTTTCTTTTCCTCATTTGATTCATTTCATCTCTCGTTTTAGTTTCTAATGGGGCCAACTTGACTTTGATGTGGTTGTGCAATATCTGCTCCTTCCTTTCTATTTGACTTCAGACTTCTTTTCATATGTTGCATGGAAACAAAAAGATTTCATCTCTGTACTAAAAACTGATTTTATGATTGTTTTTGTAGATAACTTCGGCTGCTTCACGAACTGCAACTCCCACCATTTCGAAAGGAAACCAGTGTTATCTAGTTTCCACCAGGTTGGTATTGTGTCTAAGTATCTTTGAAGTTTTCTCTTTAGAACAGCAGTGGACCATGGAGGGCGGGCATAATTGTGGCATATTCGTTTCTTTCTTTTTTGTTTTTAAAAAATAAATAAATCTGAATGACATCTATTTTATTTTTCAGTTTGGCTGATGTATTTCCTTCGGTTAGTCTAAACTTTGCCGGAGGTGCATCGATGGTGTTGAAACCAGAGGAGTACCTTATGCATACAGGTTTCATTGTAAGTATTCTCTGGCTTCCATTTAAACTTTCTTATTTAAAGTAGTTTCTTTAGACATCATGACTGCAAATTACATGGCGTAATTGTAATGCATCATTTCTATTGTAACAGGAAAGTGCTGCTTTGTGGTGCATTGGCTTTCAGAAGGTTCAGGGAGGGGTGACTATTTTAGGAGGTTAGTCCCCAAATTTAGGCTGGCTATTTAGCTCTATGGCCGAAAGTTTGAAGTCATATTGTATGTGCAGAACACTATGGAGTGTTTTGTTATTTTGTTTTTCTGATAGTGACTATCATAATTTGCTTTTTTTAGAACAATACTTAAACATGTGTGCAAATCATATATGTGCCATCTGATGACCTTTCGTTCTTCAATTGCAGATCTTGTTTTAAAGGACAAGATATTTGTGTATGACTTGGCTCGCCAACGGATTGGGTGGGCTAACTACGATTGTAAGTTGAATAATGTGTCCACGTAAACTCTCACTTCCTTTACAACTTTGGACCAGTTACCAATACCTTTGTCATATTGTTTGAGTTTCTCCTTTACAGGCTCAATGTCAGTAAACGTCTCTGTAACTTCTGGCAAAGACGAATATATTAATGCAGGACAGCTGGGTAAAAGCAGCTCATCGGGAGACATGCTCTTCAAGCATCTAACGTCAGGAACTCTGATTTTCCTAATGCACATACTGTGGAGCTCCCTCGCTCGAATATAAACATCAGATTGTAAGTTCCATTCTCTGTTGAAAGCGTCGTGGGTTGGCTGATCTTTTATTTATAGTGATCAGTGGGGCCTTCTGCTGTTGTTTGTTGTATTGCCAAGCACCCGGTTCCCAGTGTGTATTGGTCTGCTCTACTTCTGATTCGCGTGAATGGGGGCGTCGTAAAGATTTCTCCATCTACAGCATTGCAGAACGGTAACCTATCTCTCCACAAGTTAATGAAGGTAGTATCCAAGTGGAAGCGGAGCAAATTTATTGTAGCTATTTCTTGATTTAGCCTAGGCATATAGAAATTCTGTTCGTCAGTCCGTGTCGATATCATGTTGACTTGATGATTCCAAGCCTTGTACAAAACTGAAACTTCTAACGGTTTCTTGACGTTGACACGCTTTTCGTCCTCGAAAGAAATTTAGAAACAAGTCCATTGTTGTAGTGTGGAAATGTTGCAGAGAATTCAGAAGTGTTGTAGTTTTGATGATTCCGTTTGAAAATTGAAACCCATTCCATTAAAATATGTAATGGAATTAATTTGGTTGAAATTGTACTTCTAGGGTACATATGAAGCCCCCACCAATTATTTAATATGTACTTGTTTTTTATGAAGCACAAGTCTTATGGCCCGAAAGGCCATTCTATTTATACAGGCCAAATTAATTTGTTTCGTGGTCCTTGTGGTGACATTTCATTTTCAATGTGATGTTCGTGGTTAAAAAGTTGTTGATTAAAGACATGTGGTGAGCTCTGTTAGCAAATCATAGTTCAAATTCAAAATTTCGTTAGTTTTCTGTTAAAAAATTGTATGTGAGGATTGCTAAAACAAAATGAAGAAACCAAAAACATGGAATTGTCGTGCGCTGACTATGAGTTGAAGATGACTTAGGTTTGGATGAAATTGGGATTTGATGGGAATTCAGATGCTTGAAGCTGAAATTCAACTAGCTTTGAAAATGGAGACCGGGCATGACTGTGAGGTAAAAACATCAGCGTTAGAGCATCCCTAATAAGGGTTTTATCCTCTATAAGGTTACTATATTTAATGTTCAGCTAAGGAGAAATTTCATCGCCAATGAACTATAAAATGTGGTTGGATCCACCATTTGGACTAGCATCTTCCTTTCTTGAGTAGCAAAAAATTAGGCTACATCTAGCTCCAAAAAAAACAATAGATCCCACGAGTAGAGCCCAAAAGATATATAGCCCCTCATTGAAGAAGATTCTTTTTTAGAGCCCAAAAGATTCCTCGAAGCTCTAAAATTGACTATGTCCATCACTTTTTCAACCCCATATAGAGCCCCTTATTGGGGATTCTCTGTTATGTTGTCTCATAGCTTGATACTTGTCTTTCCTAGCCCCGCTTGGATAGAACAATTTACATAGAACGAGTATATTGCTATGTGGCATCCTGTGCCGATTATACAAGGACATGTGATAAAAAACTTATACATATCTTTATTTCAATGGTATGGGATGCCACAATGACGGTGTCCTAGTGTTGTGTAATTCTTTCTCCCACTCTCGCTCTCAAAGCTTTTTCAATTGGAAGATGCAATTTTGATATATTACATCCCGTTTTATACTTCCTAAAAATGTAAATGTGAGTTTTACTCTAATAAGAAAATTGTAAACTTAAGTCCTATTTATATTTTACTTTTTGGCGAAGATGGATTCTGACCAAACAAATAAGTAAAATAAACATTTTACTGTTGTAGGCATAATTTGCTAAACAATTATAGAGGCTAGAGAGAGGGGTGCATCAATAGTAGAAAGAAAGAGAGAGATGTGTAATTGTGAGGTGTGTTCTATTCCACCCCATTGTGCCTTTATTTATAGTAGTAGGGAAAGTTAATTCCTAACCCTAATAGGATTACAACTCTAATAGGATAATATTTAGTCGAAGAGATATGGTAGAATCCCATAAGGATATCCTAGATATGTTAGGATTTACACAATCACATTCCTAATTTAATAGGACTACAACACTCCTCCTTGAGTGTGTAAATACTCAACTAAGTGACGCATCAGGTCTTCAGCGATGAAGTAAATACAGTTGATGAAGTCGTCGACACAATGAGCGAATGCGAGTCTCAAATCAATGGAAGAATGCATAAAAAAGGTAAAATTCACAAAACCTCGCTATGGTAAAACCCAAGGTGGGAGAAAAACCCATAGACTAAGGAGAAATGTGAGAAGTTGCATTAAGTCAAAATTATACGTCTTCTAGACGCAAGTAGAAGAGCTCACAAGGGTATGACCAACCCATGATGGGTGCCTCGTTAAAACCTAGTTAGGTGGCAAAAACCCAGTGGAAAAAATGCTCTTAATCTTAGGGAAAAAGAGTACATTAAGATCAAGTGAATATACTTCTGGATACTCATCCTGAGTTTGACAGAACTTCCAAATGAGAACTACAAGCATTGCATATGAATAGTTAGGCATACCAATTATTCAAACAAGCTTCTGGAAGGTTGACTTCGGTAATGACATTATGTAGAGGTCGCAAGGTTGTCTGGGATCGGCTTGCATGACTTCAATCTCCTGATGCTTTGCTGATGTGATGTAGACGCAATATGTCTTCGTGCTGACTTCGTTGATGTACCATGTCTTGGTCAGGTTGACACGTGCGGCATAGTCCTCATGGATCATTGTTGGGACTCAATGATGGATGAAAATAGCAAGTACTTCGAATATGCTCAACAAGAACTCCTAACCATGTCTCACGTGTGGCATAGTGAAGTAATGTGAGTCTTGGAACGAGTCAAAGATTTCGCATCTAAGGTCATATTGTGGACCTCCAAGATATTGCGATATCCCTAACAGTAAAGACATAACCATTCGGGGATTTGCCTTGTGCAGGTTTGTAACGACCCAAAATTTCTAATTCGGAAGCTAATTACTAAGATAGGCCTAAATTCCTTTTCTTAGCCAAATTTCAAGAAAAGATTAATCTTAGTTATTTTATTATGGCTGCATCTAACCTTCTCGATAGATTGCCTATGTAACCTATGAAAGGATCAAGTCATTCGTAGTTTGTCATTAAGCTTCTAGAACAACATCTTTCTACAAAATTTGCAGAAAAACAGCATTATTGGGTCAAGTTTAGGCTCCTCTTGAAGCATTCAAAACTAAACCAAATCGTTTAATATTATATGGGTTTTGAAGCTTGTATTTTGTACTTTAAAAGCATATAAAGTTTGTAGAAAACGGAGCTCTAAATTGGAAGTTATGCCAAAAAGAAAATGGAGTCTTGAAACTGGAAATTCAGCTTTTTGCTGCTGTTTGGCAGTTCGCAACCCAAGTTTAAATAAGGTTATGTTCAATCAAAACTCAACGGAACTGAGTGAAAACAATTGGGTTACGATCATCAACATATGTACTTTCAACACACTAAAAATTTTCTCCAAAGAAGCACATAAAGACCTAGAAATTAAGAGCCAAATAAGGCTATTCGAAACTTGAGTTTTCTTTGCAAAGAAATCAATTTTCTGCAACTTACGTAGCATCCCACATTCCAATTCATATAACAGATCCCAAAATACTTTCAGGTAGTCCAAAAGTCATGTATACAACATCCAAAACTAACATAACTCAAAATTAACAAGAAATTGACCATTTGAACCAACCCTTGGCCAAGAAATTTGATCTACACACCCAATCCGAATTACCCAACTCTAATTCATGTTCAATCTAGTTCATTGAATGATAGAAAATCCTAAATAAAACTAAGAACTCCAAATATATCATGGTAGTTTCAATTCAACTTAAGGAAATTAAATTCGAAAATTAAGATAATCAAGGAACAAGGAATATACCCTTCAAATCCCTGAATCCTTCCTTCACAATCACGTTCTCCATTGTGCTTTTTCTGCATCATTCTTGTCAACATCTTCATCCTTATCCCTTTCACCTTGACCCGTACCAGGCTGCATCCTCAGATATCTCTCATAATTTCAGTGCCACTCCTTTGAAACTATCCAAAAGTAGGTTTGATGATTTTGGGTTGGCCGAATAATGTGGCTTTAACGTTGGGTCGGTTGTGTGTGTGTGGTACGAGGAAGGAAAGAGAGGGATGGAGTGGGAGAGTTTCTGGAGAATTCCAGAAATGCGGTGGAGGAGACGGGAAGAAGTGAGATAGTGACTTCCCCGAAACCCACCACAAGAAAATTAAAATCCTCTTTCTCATTTAAACTATACAATTTAATATCCTCGAAAATAATATAAAATCTCGTTAATACAAATATGTAGGTTATAGTAGTGAAATCCAGGAATGAAATTTCACATTCTTCCCTTTTTTAAATTTCAATAACCAACTACATAAAATAATTAGGAAGTTACAGGGTTTGATAAGTAACCTGCATCAGCATAACAAACAAGGTAAGCATTATTCGAGGATCAGGGGTCAGATCTGCTTAGGATGCGTTGGGATTTGCCTAAATTCGTAGTATCTTCAGGGTACGTCTTTAATACCAATTCAGTGGTTGCGTGTAGGCGCAAGTGCTGCATCTTTACCAATAGATCAACAACGAATGAGATGTCCTATCTAATTGTAATAAACTAAGTACGACAAATACAAACTTGAACTGTCATATGGAACTTCAGATTCCATAACCTCTTCAAGGGTCTCATTTGCATATTGCATATAGAAGATCATAGGTATACTCAAAGGGTAACACCTTCGAGGTGTAGTTCGATTGGTAGACCAAATTACTGTCGAAACAACGCTTCAACTTCAGGTCAAAGTATAAATGAGTTTTCCCAAGATCCTTCATCTTAAATTCCGTTTTCAGGTATGATGCAATTTTCTCAAGCTCTTCTAGAGTCTTAGTGAGATTCATGTCATTGACATAAATTGTAACTCTAGCAATTCAGAATATGACTTCATAGTTTAACACGTAAGGGCATACTTCATATCCCTAACTGATCAAATAATCACTTAGACGGGTATACCACATCCGCCAGATTGCTTCAATCCATAAGTGAACGCCTGAAACTAGTTGAGAGGGTGTTTCGCGGTTTGGAACTATTTGAACCAGTTTATGTAATTCTTTGGGAACTTACATGTAAATCTTCGTATCTATATCCCCATGGAGAAACACTAACCACACTTCATAATGTTGTAGTCAATCACATGACGTTTGAGAGAAACCTTGTGTCGTAAGGCGTGCATCATATCACATTATTTCATTCATCTCATAATGCTTATTTTCCCACTTGTAACACAACGGGGTTACCTTGGGCAGTGTAAGAATGATAGGTCCAAAACACACTTTGGTAAGGAATTTGATCTGGATTGTAATTTCGGTTGACCAATTAGTTCTATGTTGTCACTTAATCAACGGAACATAGTTCAACATCATTGCTTTTCATTTATGTTGGTAGCTACCATATAAGTGAAAATCTTATTTAAACTAGTACACTGGACCAAGAACTTCAAGTCTCAGGAGTAATCTAGATTAATCTCATGAGATGTAAATGATTTGAGACAACGATCAAGTATAGATTCATTTTGTGCCGTGTCTTCCTCTTCTAGGGAAGTGAATCCTATGAACCAAGTGATTTGTCATGCTTCAAGCCAAGACAGATTGATTGGTTATTTGCCGATGTAC